ATACCTCATCAATATAACAAACAAAGGAGATCTCAGCAAGTGTGAGAACTATAGAAGCATCACTCTGCTATCGGTGCCAGGGAAAGTCCTCAGTAATGTTGTTGAACTAAATGAAGGATTCAGTAAACATTCAACTTCGAGATCGACAGACCGGATTCTGTACGGATTTTTCATGAACCGACCGAATAGTAGCACTGCGTATCGTTGTGAAACAATCAATGAAATGGAATTCATCACTTGACATCAACCTTTTTGACTATGAGAGAGCATTTGACAGTGTAGACAGGATGACACTATGGAAACTTCTTCCATACTATGTTGTATCTAAAAAGATAGTCAACATCACACTGAATTCTTACGACGGACTACACTGAAAAACCGTGCATGGATTCCAACTCACAGATTGATTTCAAGTGAAGACCGGTATCAATCAAGGTTGTTTGCCCTCACTCTCTCTCTCTCTCTCTCCTGTTGGTGGTTGACTGGATTATGAATACGTCAACATGTGAGGGGAACCGAGGCATATAGTGGACAGCTCGGATGCAGCTAGACGATTTAGACTTCACATATGACCTGACTCTTCTATACTAGTAGAAAGCAACCAATGTAGAAGAGGACGACCGGTTTGGCAGCAGCCTCTGCATCAGTAGGTCTCTACATACACAGGTGGAAAACAAGATCCTTAAATGCACTAACGAAATCTCACTTAGTGGATAAGCTGTAGAAGATGTGGAAACCTTTACATACCTGAGCAGCATCATTGATAACCAGGGTGGATCTGATGTCGATATGGTGTTTATTAACAGTTGTCTACGTAAGATACTGCGGAATTGTTGGCCAGACATCATCGGCAGCGAGCTACTGTGGGAGAGAACAAATCAGCTTCTAGGTGATGAGCGCTGAAGGTGGATAGGATGCAGTAAGGAAACCGCGCAACCACGTCATGGGCCAAGCCCTGATTTCGAGTCCTCAAGTCCAAAGAATAAGAGGTAGACTAAACAACACATTAAACGGAGAATTGTAAACCGATATGAAAGAATGAATAGTAGTTGGGAACTACTGACAAGTGGAGCCTAGGACTGAGTTGGATGAAGAATGCTCATCAGCGGCCCATGGTCCATGAAGGATAACAGGAGTGGGTAAATAACTAAGTAATTTTATTCGGGCTTGTTCTGTGGAACCTTTGATAATTGTTAAATATAACATACAAACAGATCAGTTGAAGCTGTTAACTACTGTTTTAGATGTTCAGCGATAACCGACTATCTGCCTCAAAAGCTCTTGGCCTTTGCTTTTGTCATTACTATCATTTATTTATCACGTCTATTCATTGTTTTTTTTTACATGGAATTATGTTTTAAAATGTTTAGCTTGATAGTAAATCCACTGAAATGAATGCACTTATCTTAATTTTATGTTTTTATATTGGCGGTTATAGGCCATCATTTCATTTACATAATACAGGCGATTCCTGCGCCATATCTGAATTGCAACGTCAATGTCTGGATTCTGTATTGTCACGTAGTGAATTATTAACAAGTCGCAATAATGTTTTTCCAGAGTTTATTCGTATTGCCCCACCTTTGTTACCATGCCCCCAAGGAACTGATGAAATTTCATACAATTTAAATGAAGATGATGAATCCATCAGTCGAACAGTTTTCGACTTTAGTCCTTCAGGGAAAAGACCTATCAAGAAGTCTAAACCTATTTATAACTGGTCAGAGGAACTTATATGGCTTAATCCGAATATTGTGGAGCATGATTTTCATTGGAATAGTAGTATGGAACTTGTTGATATGACAGTTGAGGTAATTCTTTGATTTATAATACATAGTACCTTCGCTTTACATATTAGTTGATAGATTGATTTTTATTAAGTGTATGTGAGCCATTTCTATTCAAATGAAGTGATTTAAACACTTTAGACAATCTGTTAGTAGAGATGATTTTACCAGTTTTTATGAAATAATTCATACACACCTTACTCAGATTTTCAGTACTTTTTTCTGTCCAAAAATTTATTCCTTAGGCTTTTTTTGGTGATATTAGAATAAAATGATAAACTAGAATTACCGGATGTATTTACTTCAGTAATTACACCTATAATTATTAGTAAATAGCTGTAATGTAATTCTAACAACTTATTGAATAAGTTGAATAAATCTTCTGTGATAGCAGTAATTTGTTTAAAATCAGAAGATAGATGATTATGATTTCTGAGGAATTGATACTGTTTGTAAATGATAATTAGATAGAATCTGGCACATTAGTTTACAGGTTGTATTATTGATTGTAGAATTCCATAGTTAGATGAGGGAAATAATTTTTAGATACAGAAAAGTCTGAAATATAGTAATTTCTGATTGTTTGAATGACAGATTTCATAATATTTTATGATCTATGTTGCTGTCGGCTGGCTGACTGCTTTAATGTCGGACATTGTGTCAAACAGGGCAAGAGGCTACCTTAGTTGGAATTATGGAATTCCGTGCCATAGTTGTATGCTGCATCTCCAAAACGCGCATACAGGATCCGAGCGAAACCATAAATTTGATTTCACCTTGTCCAGATAAACAACCAACTCGGTTTACGCCTCGTGTATCTAGAAGTCCTGATGCTGCTTCCCGGGGTCTCACTACATATTGATCGCTGAGAGTGGTGGTTAACAAAAGCGAAAGTGATAGAAAGGGCAGAGACAGTAGGTTACAGTAGACAACTGTTCAGACTTATCAAGGAAACCGGCATTAGAAATCCGACCTGTAGCGAGACTATCTTGGAAAAACGAGACAATTATTAATTCTCAATCCAGGAAATTGGGTCGATGGACAGAGCACTTCAGGGATAAGTCCAACTGGCCTTCAATGACAATTCGGTTGCCCACAATCTCCAGTCAACCTGAATGGCAAATCGATGTAGGTCCTCTGACTCTTTATGAAGTTGAGAAAGCTATTAGAAATATTAAGGGAAGGAGAGCAGCGGGTTCCGATGGCCTGACTCCTGAGATTTTTAAGGATGGTGGTCCAGTTTTATCATTTAGATTGACTAGGATATTAGGAAGAATTCGGGAACTAGACGTATACCCATCCGATTAGTCTCAATGACTGATTGTCCAAATTTATAAGAAAGGACAAACGTCCGCTTGGGACAGTCACAGAGGAATCAGTTTCACCAATTCAGTGAGATAAATTTAGAAATGTAAGGATAGAAGTGATGAGGAATCCTGAATATTAGAATTTGAGAGAACACAAACAGGGGAGGCACCTGCGCCATTGCAAACGATTTTGAGCCATGTCATTCTAGGTCTCTAACTATTGGCGACTTTCGTCTCGCGGACCCCAACCAGGTAGCCTACATCTACCAACATCACTCAGTCCACTTGTCAGTGACTTCGTGGATTTTTGCCATGTTTTGGTCTGGCCACCCTCAGCTTTCTTCCAACCTATTCCTGCATGGCAAAACATTGCTCGACGAGGCAGTTGGTGGTTAGGCTTACACGTAACACATGTCTCAACCACCTCAACTGGTGAAGTTTCAATACTTTAACCATTGACCTGCCATCCTTATCTAGGACTCTTTTCTTACTAACAGTATTGCTTACTCGTTTGTCCTAGGATAGACAAGCAACGCTTCGAAGACATTTTAATCGAATACTAATGACTTCGGGATGTCCACGTCTCTTACCGGCACTCTTTCACATCCATAAACTAGGACCGAGCGAACTGCTGTACAGTACACTCGTCTTTTGGTTAGCGAACGTATATCCCACCGACGCCATGAGTAACGCAAGTTGGCAAAAGCCAATCGAGCTTTATGCATCCGTGCCGAGACTCCCAAAATAGCAACAACATATTACAACAGGCATGCCAATATACAGGCAAGATCAAAATGTTAAGATTACGAAGATATATCTTGTAAAATGTTTTTCAGTTAATGAAATATTTTATAAGATACATTGTCTTTATATAGATGGCTAAAATTTTTCATATAAAATTATAGATAATTTTGCAGACCCTGCAATGCACAATGCAAATTATAAGAGGAAGACGAAAGAACACCGAGAATTATGAGCAGATATGCAAGAATGGCTAGTAGTTGGTGACGACTGAGAAGTTAAGCTTAGAACAGAGTTTGATGGGAATGATGGCTGTAGGCCTGTGCTACATTGGCGTACGTGATTTAGGAAGTGATAAACAATTAGGTATGTTTATTAAGTGGCAGTGAAGTTTGTGCCAGTAGATGCAAATATTAGCAAAGAGGTGGATCGTATTTGATCAGTGGTGTAAAAGGATTGGCTGATCTGTGGGAAAGTCAGTGATGACGACTAGCGAGCTTCGCGTACAGCAGGTCCAAGGGAGAGATGATAATTCATATGCGAATTTGTGTTTGTCTATTCTTTTCTAGGAGATAATCTCTGAGTTTGCTATGGTTACCCCGGCTGAGAAAACATTCTAAACAGGAACATTTCTGAGTAGGAAATTGTGGCTCCATACCTGGGTGTTAGCTCCTGCGTGCGCAATCATTCGAGCCTCACCTCAAGCGGCGCGTTGATGTTTTGAGGAGATGCCCGTACTACGATGATTTGGCGTGCACAAACACCCCGGTTCATTGGTTTTCTTCGAGTCACGAACCTAAAGAAACATTTTGGGCTTGTCTGAATATTGGCTGCTAACTTGTTTTGGAAGTGTCTCACATCGCTTCGAACTTTGGCACTGCATATTTCCCAATGCAGAGTGGAAACTACGGTCAGAATCTTTCAGAGGGACCTTCTACTTGTGCTAAGCTCTCCTTTTTTGCTTGTAGCAGGAGTTCTGTGCCTCGCCTAAGCCATGTCCTCCTCTTTCCAGGTGTGTGGTTTGCCTGAGGCACATTGCACCGGGCGACATTCTGAGTAATGTCTCTCACCGTTCGTCAATGATCATCTGTTAGCATCCACCATTCTTGTAGCCATGGGGCGTGCGGATGATGCTCTCTCACGATCATGCACTTTACCCTACTATAGATAAGGTAGAGCTCGTTTTTGTCCCTCCTGAGTACTTCGTCTATGACCATGTTAAATACGACTACATCATGGTTACTACTTCCTACTGTATTGTGGACATGGACATCCTCGGCCATCAGCTGATCAATCGTTAATATATGGTCGAAGTTTGAAATTTTTCCATTCTTAGTCCATCCAGTGATGTCACAACTATTCTCAATCAGTAACAATGCTTTTATGGTTGTGGCAAGCCGCTTTTGTAAGTGAACTATGATAATAGTGACACTATGAGGAAGAAATACGTATGGATTAAGTTTTAGAGGAGTAAATTAATGATAATATGAAATAAACGAGTCCGTAGTACATAAAAAAGAACAACGTGTGTGTTTCGGCATTGACGTTGCCTCGTTGACTTTCCTCCATTCACGGGAAACTATCCATTTTCTGACACCAGACTGGGATACTTAATCACTCCCGAAAATATAAAAGTTTTCTTCATTGATTGGTTGTCACAGACTTCGATGCTGTTTCCTATTCGACCTAAATGTATAAATACGTATTATCTGTAAAGCATTCCATTCCTTCCTGACTTCTTCTTTACTGTACTCGACCCCATTAGCAACTTCATCTAACGATATTGCGTTCTGATATATAAGAGATTTAAGAATAGTATTTGGGGTGTAATTGGAATATCTGAATTTGAACGTCGGTAGGACTGAATAGTTTCTCAGCAGCATTATAAAATTGCAAAATTGCCATTGCAAACCATTTTGAGCCATGTCATTCACCATCGCTAACCATGTTACTATGATCCTAGTTGCCAGTGACTTCATAGAGCCTTATCGGCTCGACATGTTAGTACACACACTACAAGTCCAATGGATAATGAAATCTTCTATTGCAACAATTTCACTCAAATGAACTAAAAATAATGCTAGAGCAATATGCTGTGCTGGCATTGTAAATGTACATGTAAATGTTTAATTAATTTATGAAAAATTTTAATTATGACATATCCACTTTTATATTACACTAGGATTTATATGATAACCAGTATCAATTTCTGAAGTATTATGATTTTATATAAACGGAAAAAAACATTTAGCACTGTAACATGAACAGTACAGCTCAATTCTGTGGTGAAACCACTTAGCTACCTGGCACCCTGATGGACCATTCACACCATTTATATACACTAGTACATATATAGTGATTATTTCCAATTCATGATTGCGTCAATCAATACGCACCTCATGAACAGGCCAATTTGACCCATCCCGCCTATATGACTGTCAAACTCCTTACTATTAGCAATGGTGATATGCAATAAAGCAACCGAATGACAATGGATCTCGGGACCTCCATTTCCCAAACTCCAGCTAGTATTTCATTCGGTTTAGCTAAAACAGATCTACTGCGTTAATCTATTCGAGCCTTTCGATCTCTATCACTCAGCTTTGGCTAAACGTTTTTTAATGTCACTCACATTTGGAGGATTTGTATCAATTTAGCATTTAGATAGTTTGTTATAATGGGTAATTGTAGGGTAGCTAGAGGCCAGATAAACCGCTCCCCAAAATATCCTGCTTATCGATCTAACCCTGTGGGCTTCGAATGAATAAGTGCACCTTTTTCCGAAATAGTCTCATTAACGGCTGTCTTTCTAACACCTATTTCAGAAACTGAGACAGAATACACTGGTGTATCTTGATAATTTGGTTTCGGATTTTATTATATATCACAGTCACACTTACAGATATTTCAGTATAAGCAAGATGAATGAGGTTAGTGATCTTAGGAAATGGCATAAATAACAACAATCAAGTTTCGAGATATACATTA